GATTTGCTGTTAGGAACTAGATTATTTAGGTAAATCAACTGAGAATATGAGATTAGTTGCTCTGTCCTCAGTGCATTCTCACAGAGTGAGAATTCTCTACATTCTCACAGAATGAGCAGAGAAAAAACCATGATGACAACCCCCTTCCACAAAACCTCAGCAGAGGGATATCTGCTTTTCCTATCTCTTTTGCTAAATCCTCCCACTCCTTATTAAATAAGCTGCAGTGAGTTTTAGCGGTATGGTATAATCACCCCATTGTTTCTTGTGGCAAGACTACATTTTCTCAGTCTACAATTTTTCTTGTTTTCTCATGACCAATTTTTCTGTTTCCTCAACTGCTACAGAGACCTTTTCAGATTAAAATGCTACCTTTTCCCCCCAAGTTTATACAATGAAGTAAAATGGCATTTTGCATTTGCCATGACCACATGGAAAAATGATGTAATAAGTGTTCTGGTGATAGAACACCCTGGTCTGTGCCATTTGCAATAATCACTTGAGTGTGATCGGTCTAGTACAAATGCAGAGACAAACACCAGAAAAACAACTGAACTTGATTTCCATCCCTTATATGCCATCTCCAAGAGTGAGAATTCTTGAACATTTAATAGAGACAGGAAAAGTAACAACAGAAAGTTTATTTCATTATGATCCTGTTGTTAATTTAAGAATCTGAATTTATTGGTTCTGAAAGAACTGACTTTCAAATCCCTCCAAAACTCTTCAGCACTATGCTATGATGTTTCTTATGTTGTTAAAAAGAGGTTGTTAAAAATGCTATTAAAAAAAAGTTGCATTATCATTAATGCACAAACTTATTGTTCTTAAGCATCACGTCTTATACAATGCTGTTGTTTCCTCAGGAACAATAATAGTTTTTCCAAAGTTTTCCATAGCCATGCAGCTTTAATTGCATTCTTTGGATGCTTGTGGTTTCTTTTTTCTTACTTTGGAAGTCTGCATTTATACAAAGGTGTGTACTGTGGAACTTGCATAACAATTGTACATGGAATGTAGTTGGAAGACTAGCAGCAACTCATTTCACATCAACAATGAATTTTTATGTATAAAGTATCTTCAGTTGTATTTGTCACTTTGAAACCTGTTGCTTATCAGCTATAACTCATAGTAATTTTGGAGAAGTAGTCCACACTGAAAAAATTAAGGAAGAAACAGTCTTAAGCATTGACTTAAATTAAAATACAATTATTTAACACTGATTGTTGACAACTCATCTTAGAAGAAAATAAAATTTTGAATAGAATATATATGCCCACAATAAGTAACATATTTTCTCAGTGAAGATTTATGTCAAGGATGCACTCAGTGCCTACATACCAGGAATTGGACTTGAAGATTAGTCAAAGACAGAACTTGAATTTAATACTGCTGAAACACAGAAAGTAAACCTAGGATTTAAGATCCCACTAGTGATATGCTGCATACTGGATCATGGAATTACCATTTTTCATTAGACAGAGAAAGGAAACTGGAAGGCACACAGCATAAAATTTCAGATGCTTTATGTAATTATTAATACAAGAGTTACCCCAACTACCAGGCCATGGTTATCCTGATCACCTACAACTTACTGCAGTATTTTTAAGTGTTCAAAAAGCATAAGAAATGGAGCGGATTATATTTCATTACCCGAGGCCAAAATTTTAAAGCTTTTAAAGTGCCCTAAATACTCTGGTTGGAACTCGCTGCACTTAACAACCCCTAAATGTGATACAGTTACTTGAAGTTATAGACCTACGGTTTTTCTTTAGTCAGTGAACAGAAACTATTGTCTAAGCAAGTTGATTTGCCCACCTATGTTAAGACACCTGGTCGCAGATGGGTAAGTTGATGATTTAACTGCTCTTACTATCCTCTTTCAAAAATCAGATGTGAAGTACTAGGTTCAAAGACTGGAATAATTTCCCCACTCTCTGACACTCAGTAGCTAAGGTACCACAGCAACAGAAATCAATGTTTCTGATAATGTTCCCATTCTCAAGCATGGAAATACTGACTTCTGCACACACACACAATATTCGTTTATAAAAAGATGCATTTATGCTAAAAACATCAGTATGAACATCTCAAAATAGGAAAATTTTGCTATCATACATTTATCTGATAAAACAATATTCAGTACAATTTTAACAACCTAATGCTTAACTGACGTGCTCGGTTTTGTCACTGTCACTGGGACTCTTCTCACATTTCCTGCCGATGCTCTAATACTAAACAAATATCTTGCCATGAAAGCTTGTCTAGAATCCAAATTCTGCACCTTCCCAGATGAATGCTGTGATCTCTAAATTGTGCATAACCTCTTGCTTCTTTCTCTAATACCATGCTCCGTTGTTCCTGGCTGTGTGCCAGCTACAAGATGGCAGGCAACGTAATTGCTCAGCATATACCTGGTGTCATGGCTAGTACAGCCTCCTGGGAATCAGGAGATGGAGGTTTAATCTACTTGGAGATTAATAGAGCCCCCAAATTCATAGGTGAGTACAGCAATTATCACGCAACCAGAACACTTCTCTAGGGGAGAAACATCCAGTGTTCCTGAATGAACCTTCTCAGGAGGCTAAAAGGAAGTTGGTGCTTGTGTCAGTAAAATCCATTTTTTTATTAGTTTATTAACTGTTTTTCATTTAAAAAAAATGGTATTATGTAATCTGTGTAGGTAATGCAAAATTTGTGTCTTCATTGTTTGCCATACTCTTGCTCTCCCTATTGTCCCTATGTTTACCTCCATCTTGCTCTCCCTATATTGTCATTTTCTTAAGTAATGCTCTTTAATAAAAATGAGGAGCCTTGACCAATGTGGTCATAAAGGCAAGGAAGAGGCCTCTTTTCTTCCTTGGTCCTCTGCCTCCCACACAGACCTCTGCCTTTCTTGACTTTTCCTTGCAGATTGCATTCATTCCCTTTTTGCCTTAGCAAAGAAAAGGTAAAAATGTCACAAGTGAGTAGGTATCTGGTCTTAGCCTGTACATTTTGCCTAAGAGCTCATAGTCTCACAGAATCTCAGTGATCATGCACTGTTTGGTACAAGGCATGAATGAGCATGGGCTCTTTCTCCAGTGGTATCTCAGGGCATTTACTGTTGCTTTAATTTTAAAGAACTGAGCAACACGTCCTTACAAATTTCAGAAGAATCACCACAGTAAGTCCTGAAACTACATCTTTTGACAAATGGCATATCATAAAAATGAAAGAGGAAGGCTGAATCTTGAGTTACAGTGTAACTCTGTGTATTTGCCTTTTTTATAGGCAAGAACTGCTACAATATGCAGTATTTTAGCTGTAAACACAGCTATCAATGTAGTCATATCTACATAATCATATGCACAGATATCTCAGTTTATCCAGCAGAATGGCAGACGGTACATAAGATATGTAAACAGATCTGCCAAACACTTACAAAACAACTTTAATAGCAAGTGTCATTCTTTTCTGTAAAGTAGCTGTTTTTAACACACATGATCTAACTCTTGTTTGCTCTTTAAAGTTTTATTGTCTTGGCATTTTATACAGGAAGAGAGCATTAGCATACTCAGGAGAACTGCTAAAAGTAAAAGGCCTCAAGCTACCCACTGCATGGTTGATAGCATAAAGCATGGGATATAAAAACTTTTGTCTGATTGCTCACTTTACTTGTTTTAAAGTAGTGTTACTCTCAGGAGCATATATTCATGTTCTTTCTACTTCAAGTTTTATTACTTCTTTTGTATTATTTAATACATCTAAAGACACTTCCAAAAGACAAATTTTTCCATTTTGAAAAAGTAATGGTTTGGAACCTGATAAAATACATGAATGTTCACAGTGTATTATTTTCAAAGGCAAGTAGAACAAATGTACAATAAAACAATTAAATGCATGACAATAAACATTTCTGTGTGAGCACAGATATATTAACATACCAAACAAAAGAAGAAAAAATTGGTAAAATATTTCCCCTAAAAAAAGGTCAGATCAAAATGGATTCTTTGCACACCAGAGCATAAGTAAAAAGGGAGTCCGCTCTAAATTACTGTTACTGCTAAATATCCCATTTAAAATGTGAAAGAGAAAATGGAATGAAAAAAGGCAAATGAGATCAGCTTTTTTAAACATAAAAAAAAGGGAGAGATACCATAATTGTAGATACACATTAAAAATCATTCTACGGTAAACTTAAAACTAAGTCTACTTAGATATCACACAGCTAATTATTATATAAATAACCTAGGAAACAATACCTCCAAGATACATGTTTTACTATTTAGTAAACAAGAAACTGCCATGTTTGACACCACTGATTAAGGCCAGGCATTCCTAAAGCTTCAGACACATTTCTGAAATCCACAATACATCAATTTTTAATACTTCCACTCTCTCAGCTCCATTAAAAAGATGGTAGGGGAAAGATTTTAGAGTAATTAATGATATAGTTAGCTGCTAAATATTAATAGGAATCGTAGTCTTGCATAAAATATAACATATAAACCTTGCCAATACAGACGCACCAGTAATTAAACTTGAATATGTAATTACACTGATTTATATGACAGGCAAAAAGTTACACTTTACTGGCTTCTATGTAAACTGCGGGCAACAGTTAAAGTTTGCATTTTATGGTTTATATAAATGAGCAATATCTCTACTACAGTTCATAAATGGTTTAGAGACTCGTAGTTAAAATTACAACTAATTCGAATGTGAACATTCTCACTACACCTTACAAACCAGGCTGTGAAAATGACCACAGAGATCATTATGTTCAATGCTTGCAAGCAAGATGATGAGGTTTAAAAAAAAAAAGCAAAAAAAAAGAGCTTATACCAATGTTACTACAAAGTAAATGAAGACACATCTATTTAAATGTTTTAATATAAATGTTTAGTTTCAAATATATAGCTCCAGACATTTCACTTACCATCTTTCAAAGCGGTTTTGAGTAATATTGTGTCTTAGACTAAGGCATTTTTTCTTGAAAGGAAGCTAAGTGGACTTACATGTGAGGCTGAGGAGAGCAGCCTGGACTGCTATTTCCATTACTGTCAATGTGATCCAGTGAACCATTGAGATCTTCATGGACTGCCTGCAGTAAGCCACTGGATGCGTTATTTATCAGTCCTGGGTTACTAAGCAATGGTAAACTACTCTCTGCCAGTGCAGCCTACCAAAATGAAGAGTAAAAACAAAATGATTACTCCATATATATACAAAGCACTCATAGATGTATGAACATTTAGAAATATACACACACAGAGTAGCTCATTTTGAGTAGTTGTAGAGGTGGTCAGAAGGATTTTGTGCATTTCCAATTATTTTCACATTCTGTATATAACAGCATTTCTACTTCTGGTTTGCAATTTCTCTTACTTAGGTTTCATTATTTTCCATTATTAACTATGTTCTGATATTCATGGCATTTTCTAGTTTTATATCATTTTTTGACTCTGAATTACACTTAACCCCTTTGCCCTTCCACACAATGTATGGCTCCTTTATAATGCAGGCAGCTGCTATACTTTAAAAAATGACCAGAACTTACCTCAAAATAAAAAAGTCCTGACATTTGCCTCTTCTGCATAAAAATTATATATTATAATTAAACTTTAAAGTTTTTGCCATGAGCACCATGTTCCCAACACTATGATGTGAAATCATTTATGACAGCTTGGATAAATATTAATGCATATCCACATGCATTTGCAAAAGCTTCTATCAATCTAACATTTGCAGCAAAACTGAGTGTTCCAGATTTTGCCACAGGGTGTCCTTCTTGCTTCTTCACATCAAAAGTAGAATGAATAAGAACTAGTACTTGCAGTGCTAGGTAATACAACTTACTCGGATGATAAACCCAACTATTTAGAATGACCATCAGGTCCACA